ATTGACACTATTTGAAGATCGCTAAGTAGCTATCAAAAGACGCAAGCAACAGGATTTTTCCTTCGAATTGCGCATCGTACGCTACGTACCAAGGTACTCACTGGATGTTAACAACAAATTATATCATTCCTATCAGCAGACATTAATTTGTTCTACCTACCTCTTATAAGTGACCCTACGATATCTGGCCGCATATATGAACAAAAAGACATCCGGGTGGAGTGTTTATATCCTTGGTTCTACTCTTCTTAAATACGCCTCTTCAAAAAGTTTTTCTCCAACAATTTTTCTGCATTGTGCCATGGATATTAAGTTGAGATCAGTGGCTGTGTTAAAAAGCTCTTATTGAAAGCTGCTCGGCGTCTGCTTTGGCCAGAATAAGTGTTCGGTGAGAAAAGGCACACGTTTTCCCTGTTCTTAAGAGTGCTGCCGAAGCAAAAGCTATTTAAGCATTGACAACAAAGAAAAAATGTATTGGCATGATTTAAAAATGCAGCCATAAATTCAGCCACAATACATAACATTAATGAACCATAAAAGATGTCAACGTTACGAGAATAAAAACTTCAGGGTGTTTTTATGTACGACGCCAAGTTGATGCCATCGAAGAGTTGGGCTATGGTGGTTCAAAGAATATGCATACGATCCCGGAATTATTTCAATCGCAAGTACTTTGTTGTGTGGGTTATGTAAGATTCACACTTAATGATGACCGGGTATCATATATTAACAGGAAGTGAAAACGAAGATGCCATGGGAAATCACCCGTAGTAGAGACAGAAATCGTTTTCAAAAAAGTCGCAAATTAGACAATAACTGATCAAAATTCATTGGAATCAGAAGGGCGTACTGATACTTGTATCTCGTAGAAAGCGAATTTTTTTTAATTCTATTTCTAGGGCTACCTGGGCTTGTCTTTTAATCTAGGTCTCAGCAGTAAAATTTACGCAAATCCAACTTATCTAAAAATTTTGGCTTTTATAAGGTAAAGAGTTAAAATATGTAGATCAGATGTTCACAAGCTTGATAGGCAAATTTTCCTACATGCGGTCGCCCTAAATATATTTTACAAAACTTGAACTTCCCAACCGCTTTGAGCAAGATTTAGGTAGCAGCGGAAATAAATGCAAAATTTTTAGGCTTATATAACAGTACATTTTTCGAATTTGCTCATGAAAATCAGCTCCAAAGAAGTCATTTCAAGCTTTCAAAGTATTGAGTTGGTGTACTAAAATTTTCTCTTTCCTTACAGTCAATAAACACAAATCGGTTACATCGGGTACTCGCTGAATTATTTGCGCCAACCACTTCAGATAGTTCCGAAAAACCTGTGGTTACTGTTACAGGCCACTGGAATTCCACCATGGAATTTGTTGATCAGGTTTCGGTAAGGTGCTTTCCGATCATCCGTCCTAACGCCCTACCTTTAGGGCACCACAGAAGTGATAGACGCAAGAGTAATGAAGAGAGAGCCCAAATGGGTTCGGCCAGTGTCTTTTCAGGCACCTGAAGAGTCTCAACGACTGTGGACTGCAGTTACAGCGGCCTTGGAAGTCGGTGATATTGACCTCGCAACCAAGGAAAAAACTAAGGTGAATTGCATTGGATAAACTGTGCTACTTGTAATTTATAAGTACGCTAAATATTTTGGTTATTTGTCTTCATAGCTTGAGGAAATTCAACGTGCCAGTGAACAGGCACGAACGAGGAGACATATTGCACACACACCAAGATACTTCAAGGAAACGCCAAACGGCTACGTTCCTATTCACCCACTGGCAACGTCCATTAGTCATTCGGACTAGGTTATCCAGTTTATATCATCTAAAAACAATATTTTGATTTTTACATCATGTGTAATGGGTCCCCACATTTGGTCGCAAACAGCTAAGAGTGTCAGAACCTAATAAAAGTGGTTCAAATTACACTGTTGAGCAGGAAGGTGTGTTTAAGTGATTCAGTTTCGATTGGCAGCTACTGATAATCAGCATAAGCGGTTGACTGGGGGACTGCGTTTACTATTAAATCATAAGATAGACTAAACTCCAAATTGTATCTTCCGGTGAGACCCACATGGTAGCGCGCAAGAATTAATATCTATTGCTTAGTGAAAATGAACCGTTTACGAAAATTCGAATTACCAAGGGTTTGGTTGGACCACTCATCTTTACCCTATTTAGAAAATTGAATCCCTTAAAGTCCGCTTTATCAGGTCGACTAGCAAAATACCAAACGGGTATTTGTCTCCACTTCTACATTATTTGCACATGGATTTAATTACACCTTTTAAATTAATCGGAATCCACTTATTTCCAATTGCAAAACTACAAAATGTTATTTTTCGTGTTCATTATAGCGCATTACCAGCCCAATAAAGCGGAAATCCGAACGTATGGATAGGAACTGGTTAACTG